TAATGCCCGGCAAAGTAAACCCCACCCAATGCGAGGCAATGACAATGGTTTGCGCTCAGGTTCAGGGCAATCACGTGGCCGTCACTATCGGCGCAACTCAGGGCCACTTCGAGCTCAATGTGTTTAAGCCGTTGATCGCATCCAATGTGTTGCGATCTATCCGACTGTTGGCTGACGCGTCCGTCTCCTTCACAGACAACTGCGTGACCGGAATCGTAGCCAATGAGAGACGTATAAAGCAATTAATGGAGGAGTCGCTGATGTTAGTGACGGCTCTGAACCCACACATTGGTTACGATAAATCGGCCAAAATTGCCAAAAAAGCCCATAAAGAAGGTCTCACTCTCAAGGAGTCTGCCATTCAGTTGGGATTCCTTACGGCCGAACAGTTTGACCAATGGGTTCGACCCGAGAATATGATCGGACCCAAGAAATAGACCATTGGTTACAAACAATGTATATTTGATGACAACTAACGGTATTATAGGAAGAAATTAAATAAATTTAATTATCAAAGAAATCATGAAAATCTTGTGCACAAAATGTTTCAGAAGTTTCTTATTTGGGATTAATTTCAAAATTATTGGAAAATTTATTTTAGAATTTATTGAATAATTTTAATTGATTTAAAGTATAGATTAAAAGTGATATTATTATATAAAAACTAGTTTTTTGGCGTTTAGTTTCTGATAAAATGTATCATAAATTAAAATTTAATTTTTATTTTAGAATTTATTGAATAATTTTAATTGATTTAAAGTATAGATTAAAAGTGATATTATTATATAAAAACTAGTTTTTTGGCGTTTAGTTTCTGATAAAATGTATCATAAATTAAAATTTAATTTCATTAATCAAGAGATGGTTTTGTACTGACTTTGAATGCAGTGATTGAGTGAAGGCTTTCCTCAAGGCTTCAGTGGACTCGTTGTGAATGCATTGAAAGCATTAGTAAAGCGTTCAATAAATAGATGGCATTCAATGGGTTTGCGATTGAATTGAAGTGAATGTAAATAAAAGCACCGATTGTTTGAAACATTGGTTTAATATTACTGTAATTGTATTACAATTGTTGTATTCATTTGATTGCCATTCAGTCCAACACTTTGTCCCCAAAATGTCCGACAAATTAAAATTACTTCAACTCAACGACGGTTTGTATTGTCTTTTGTCAGCCATCGCTCTCTTCGCGCACAAACACTGTCTTTGGATCCGATTCTTGATTTGCAATGCTTATGTCACCACTAATTGATCACTCAATCTGTGGCCAAATGCTGGTCGACTCTCGAGTTGATCCAAACGATGGTTTTATTTATTGATAGATTTGCAGCGAATTAATGGTTTTGATTGCATTCCTCTTCAGATGAAGTGATGAGAAGAAAGCTATTACTGGACGGCGACGGCGTTGGAGACGACCGCCGACTGACCATCGGTTTGAAGCAATTCATCAAATGGTGTCTTACGGACGACGAGACTCCCGATGAAAGGTCTGACACCGAGTTTTCATTTGATCCGTTTCTTAGACTCGCGTTTTTGATTGAATGCAAACATTGTATTGAATAGAGTATTGAATTACGAGAAGATATTATTGACGTTAAGTCAATGCGAGCTTTCGATGACTAAATCGGAACAAACACTTCGTATGATATCTCAAGAGATGGAAAATTACGAGAATCTGTACAAAAAGATCGACAAATCGATTACCGATTGCCAGCAAAAGCTCATCAAATGCAAGGAAGAGCTGATGGAAGCGAAGAGAGTCCGCAAAAACAAATGCGAATACGAATCGATGGCAACCGTTATTAACAGACATTCCGATCGTTTGGAAACAATGAATAGACTGCAAGAACTGGAAGACGAGATCAAACGATTGCAACAAACGAAGAATGATATACAGAATAAGTTGGAAAAGAGACGCAAACAGTTTCAGGTCCTCTTAGGAGCCGCACATCAATTGAATCAAATCCTTAACGGTTTGTATTTAACTTAATATTGTGTTCACTTGTGTTTGATCTCAATCTCACATTAATTGTTGTCTGATTTGCTTAAACCAGAAGAAGAATCGGTCGAATCGAATGACATGATTGCTGTGGCGGACGGATCCGACAAAATGGACACAAACTGATTGTCTTCTGTAGACTGAAAACCTTTTTATTTGGTTTTTACGAGTATTTTATTGTGATTTTATTTAAGCGCTTGTTTTGTACCAAATATACCATAAATTATATTTGAATCAATGTTTTTTGAACTCATTTCGTAAACCATTTCTATTACAATGTATAATAAAGACCATTGTTTTGATGTATGAATCAATTGTTAACGATATTTAATTGCCAAAAAAGTACATCTCTTATGAAACGCTCATTACTTTCACTGGTTTTTGGTTCAAATTTAGACATTTAATTGAGTTTAGAAATACTTTATTACCGTTATCTGTCACTTTAGGCCCCATGGGGTGTTATGTAAGTTTCTTAGAGAGGGTGGGGGCTTATCTAGGTAACACCCCATGCTATTTTGACTCAAAAACAAGTCAAATGTTAATTCATGACAATTCATTAATACAGATGACTAAATGTTTTAAATAGAGATTGTTTTAATTGAAATGTATAATTTATCATTGAATTTTTTTGATAAATAAATGTAGTCATTGCTATTAATATTAGATATCAACCCATGGGGTATTATGTCAATTTCTTAGAGGGGGTGGGGTACTACCTAGGTAACACCCCATGCTATTTTGAAGTATACCCGAGTCAGGGACCCCTCATTTAATACCCCATGGGGCCTAAAGTGACAGATAACGGTAAGAATAATGTTTCAAAAAGTGATTTTGAATTACAATTTGTGGTTTAATTGAAGTCAAACATGTCTTCGGAGTCAAACTGAATGCCATCGACAGAGCATTTATATAAAGTCATAAACTTTATGACAAACGCTTCCAAATGGATGATTGGTTTGGATCCCAAACGCATGTAATGCTCGCAATCGGCCGCAANGGTTTAATTGAAGTCAAACATGTCTTCGGAGTCAAACTGAATGCCATCGACAGAGCATTTATATAAAGTCATAAACTTTATGACAAACGCTTCCAAATGGATGATTGGTTTGGATCCCAAACGCATGTAATGCTCGCAATCGGCCGCAAACGATATCAATTGAAGTTTCATGTCTTCATCTAAGCATCGGTTCAGCAAATGGTTAACCAATTCTCTGACAATCAAATCGTTGGGAACTAAATGTGTTTGCAATTCATATAAAGCACTTCGGATTTCCATCACTTTCTTCAACGACTGCGAAACCGTCAGCTTTTTGGCCAACGCTTCCAATTGTTGCTTCCATTGCGGTTGCGGTACAGCTATCACCGAATTTGATCCGCCGGCCGATTGTCTCACATTATACGTCTCTAACATAAGCAACGCTCGGCGCAGATTGCGGTCACATTCAGCCGCTATCTTATCGGCCATCACTGGCGGAAGAGTTATGCACTCCTTCTTCGCTATTGTGGTCAATACGGATGATATGTCTGCTTCGGTGGGCGACGCGTTGCGAATGAGAAGACATCGGGACTTAACGGCCGGAATGATTGGCGAAGAGCTTTCGGCGATTAGGATCAGTCGACAGGTGGACACATACTTCTCGGCCGTTCGGCGTAACGCGTGTTGAGCCTCACGAGTGAGTCGATCGGCTTCAGTGATGACCACCACTTTGAACGAGTGCTTCTCAGTCAACGCCGAACTCGTGGCCAACTCTTTGATCAACTGTTGAACGACGAGTCGGTCGAAGAGATTGGAATCGCTTGGATTCACTTCGAGGTGATAGTTGCTGGACATGACTGTCTGTTCAAATTTGCGGCCATAACTGGTCTCAAACTGTTTGTGTTCGAGTCTTAAGCGCTCGACTCCTGAGCCAAACACTTCGCGCAACAGAGCGTATGCGCGGGTCTTCTTCCCGGAACCGCTCGGACCGAAGATCAAGAGATGCGGGAAATTACCCGAAGATATCAATCGCTTCAGATGTTGGCTCTGTTTGTGATTGAAGTCACACTTCGTTAGAGTCGTCGGACGGTATTTGTCGCACAACAGAGCCATCGATGCAGTCCTCCAGACAGTGGTGCAGATGAATGGCGAGTGTCTTGTGTGGGATGTGTTGACAACGGATCCAAACAAGTGGTCAACAAAAGTGTTGCTAAAAAAATACAACAAAAGTCAACACAATTATTGGCGGCAAACAAATAATGCATTAATTGTTTGCGTTATTTATGGTTGAAATGCATTCAAACGAAGCTCTCATTGAAAGCAATGTAATTGAGACGAAGATTTGGTCCCTTTTATGACACACCTGTCGACCACTCATTTCCAAGAGATGTCTTAGTTTTGATGCCGAAGACAATCATCACTTAACAGGTTTTTCGCTTCCAATCGATTGGCATTGTGTGCCAAATGTGGGGCAAATTTAAAGAGCGGATCAATTGAGAGATTAAAGAGATAAGAGGTTTGGCGTGAGATGTGAGCAAAAAGGGCTGATTTGGTGCACGTGTTGTGTCGATGCCATCGATTGCATGCTTTGATTGCAATACTTTTGCAAAACTATTTCATTGTTTCAAAGCTTTTTAAGTTGTCGTGCATTTCATCCCTCATTTGTATCCATACCTATAAACCCTTCTTCTGGAGTGAAAGACAATGACTTTCAAACCGTATTTCCAGAAAAACGATTGGATCCCAGCGTCGCCTCCATATGGCGAGAGGTTTCGGATCATTAAACGCTATGAAGTGCCCGACTCTCAAGTATACGATTGTCTGGATGTGGAGCGCAAAGAAGTGGTGGTCTTAAAGGCCGAAGCCATCGGTGGTTACAAACGAGAGTCACGTTTGGCTGAAGAGTCCAGATTCTACGACAGGTTGGCGTCGACCAGTGGCTACGATATAGTGCTCAACCGCTTCAACGGACTCTACCACAGGTTTCTTATACTCAAGAAGTTGGGCATCGATTTGCGCCGACATGTCTTGGATGCGGTCTATTTGGAGACTTGGAGTGAAGATCAGTTGAAGAACTATGCCATTCAAATGATAGGCCAATTGGAAGTGTTGCACGCGACGGGTATTCTTCATTTGGATCCCAAACCCAACAATTTCGTGACCGATGCGGACGACACCACAAGAATCCGTTTGATTGACTTCGATGTGTCCAAAGAGTTCATCACTTCATCGAAACACATTCCTTACAGAACTGGTCTGTCGTGGCGTGAAATCAAAGGCAACCGATTCTATCTGTCAATCCATGGCCACAATCTGGTGGAACAGTCGCGTAGAGACGATATGATATTCTTGGGCTACTCTATGATATGGATGGCCCGATACGGAGCGGGTATTACGCCAGCGCTTCCCTGGACTCGGGATTTGTATACCGAGAAGGAGTCCGATGGCAGTAATCCGGAGGCGAAGACCAATAAAAACATCAATTATTATAATTGGATGCGAGAGAAGAAAATGAATTGTCCGTTGAATGAGTTATGCGATGGCTTTCCCTATTTAGCCGATTATATGATTGCATGCCATGAATTGCAGTTCGCGGACAAACCCGACTATCAGTATTTGAAGTCATTGTTCACTATTTAATGATTCAATTAATTGTCGTTTATATTATAAAAGTGTGCGAATTATACACTTTTATAACTTTTATTCACTAACTGATGATTTTACTCTACCTTTAAATTCTGTAAACTTTTAATACAAAAATTGTATATTATTTTAATCACTATATTATACCTCATTGTCGATGATTTTACAAGAAATTTAACGTAAATATAACCATAATTTAGACATAATTCATAATAATTTATTATTTCATTTAGAAAATTGTTGTAACACTTGATATTGCATTTGATATGAACGCAAATATACCATTGTTTTTATCGTATTATACAAATCGTATAATAATTATACTATAATTCATAACAAATCATGTAAAAATAATTTTACAAAAAATAATTTAAATAAATATATATTTCAATGTAATTAATAAATAGTTATAAATAGTTGAGCTTTTCGTATAGCGCTTCCACTTCATCCAAATCGAGATAACATCCCATTAGATGTCTATAAATTAATGATAAGTTTGTAATAATAATTGTTTGTGTCATTAATTGTTGTCATAAATACAATACCTATTTTGTGTGAAGTGGTCGAACCCATCCCTTCCGTGTAATATTCGTCTATTATTTATGATAATTAGATCTCCGGCTCTGAGGAAGTATCGAAAGACATACTTATCGTCTCTCAACAGTTGGGTTAGCTTTCTATTCATTAGAGAGAAACATAATATTTGTGATAATTATTCAAATGATAAGATCGCTAATTGTCACACCTATAGGCCTCGTAGAACTTGTCTAATATATGCAATGGTAGGAGCGGTGGTCTCATTGCAATCCTACTGTAATGTATTTCTTTGATACTATCGTCAGTATTGAGTCCAATGATTGGCCACTTCTCGCGAAACCAAATATCATTCTCTTTATGACAAAAGGCAAACAAAACCGGATATTTGGTTAAAAGTTGGAAAAGTTCACAACTGGTCTCTCGAAGCACTTCCGCACACTTGACGGCGTCGACTACAGTGGAAGCGCCGCCGACTGCGGCCGACTCAAGACAATGCAATAGTTGAACACCGGGTGACCGCTCTCTATACGGCAGGTCTGTGTGCGCTTCCAATGGCTGACCACTGTATGCGATATGACTTTTAGAGTCCTGTTTGTTCATCACATCAAATGTTGGGCCATAACTGGTGGCTCTTTCGTAAGCTATTCTTCGGGCGACCGACAGAATGGCGTTACGATCGATGGGAACGTCTTCGAGGAATGCAATACCAAACTCGCAAAATAAATGCAAAAATCTTTTCAACGATTCCTCGCTTTCTATAAAATCGGCATATTTTGTAGTCAACTCTTGTTTAATGATTTGTTTTGATTGCCATAAAACTCTTTTCGGTAATGATATTTGCGGTGAATATAAGCCATCGTTTGGATATTTAATCGCAACATCTGTTTCTTGCTGTGTATAATCGGCGAAGACGTGAACAAACAGTTTGAGCCAATTGTTGGCGTAACGACTGGTGTGCTCTTTGTTGGACTCATCTCTCCATTGGATTTCAATATAACGATCGAAACAAGTGATGCGATCGGCGATCAGATGACCGCTAATATCGGCGCTATTAATAAGTCTGGTTTTAGTGATGGGATGAACGCATTGACTGCAAGCACACGAATCTCTTAACCACGTTGTGTTCAAATTGACATTTTGTCCGCTTCTGAACCTAATTTGAATGATATTCTCGTTGGCAAAGAACTTAATGGTATCGATTGAGTTAATGGCGTCTGCAGTCGATTGGTATCCATTCCTCGGGGGGATTGTCCTATCAATTGGTTTGTCGTCCGCATTGTCTAACACTGTCTTGGAGTCAATCGACTCACTATTGGTCACGTATTGGAGACGAGGAATCGATTTATTATAATTATTGAGCGAAATGTTGACACATCTGGGGATCGATCGGTAAAATCGACCGCATTTTAGAGCAATTCTGTGCATCACTTTTGGTGCAGAGATTTTCTCGTTTTCAATAACTTTTATTTCTTTTACTTTCGCTTCCAATGAATCAAATGAAATGAGAAATTCTTTTGCACTTTACGTTTCGACACAAAAATACTTTTCGCCAGACTTTCTCAAAAGTGTAGTAAAAGTTTTTGTTGTTTAAACACAAGTAGAGAAATGTTTAGATAAGAGTGAGAGAACTGAAGCCAACATATCATAAACCGTATCAAATGACAGAATCCATGTCCTTATCTATCGGCTGTAATACGTGATGACAAATGCTATTGTATTTCTAGTATACAAATGACTTCATTCACGTAAACATTTTATTATATGGGTATTAGTTATACATGTATTAGTAATTATAGATTCAATTCACTAATAATTATGACATAAAACAAAGTTTTTAGCAGATAAGATGTGAAGCCCTCGCCGTTACACTCAATAACATATGTCCTTCAACTGAACACTTCATTGGATTTGAATTTTGTATTTTCTTATATTTATGATATTTGTTATATTCTTACAATTTTTTGTGTTTGGATCGTAAACTGATTGAATACATGCCTGAATGCACGTACCGTTGAGTACAGTATATCGCAAATAAGAGATACAATCAACTGATTAACAACAGGTATGGCAGGAATGGGAGGAATATTAGGCATAAAACATATTTGAAGTGCAATTCGATATGCAATCACTCATTCATTCATATGATGTATATTTTGAATGCAAAGCACAATACCTGTACTAATACTGTATATAATATGTATTTCATAGCCTATTCCCGACTCCGGGCCTCTCATTATGATAGTCAACATAATTGCCTCCAATCTCTCACTCACTCTCCCTTTTCTGTCTATTTCTCTCACTTTAATTGACTTTCCCTTTTTCACAGGTGTAGACCCGGCGCTGATCCCCGCCTTTAAGAGTTAATGGATTCTCAGCCCTCATGTCAATGACACCCGAGATATAACTTATATATAAAAATCCTGTTGTTGTGGTCGACTATCACAGCAAATAACTGGCTTTTCATGCGATTCAACACAAGTTCATAACATATCTGAACAACTGTTACATAACAATACAAATAATATTACTGTATGTTTGATAACTATATACAATCTATACATTTGCTAAAACTCATCAATATTTGCCTCCGAAATACAATTCACAATCGATTTCTATATATATTTCTCACACAAAACACTCGCCTCTGAACTAAACAATCCATATATCTCTTCGACTCTCGCATACATGTAATCATTGAATGCCTTTCGCTATCGCTTTCCAAACGCTCACAAAATGAAGGGAAACAACATTTGAGATAATTTTGAGGCTTATTATTATTTAGAGTGAAAATATATACATTCATTCAAATGAATCTTATGGGCATTCAGTCATTTGATAGTAATATACAAGTGTTGGTTCAAAATGCGTGCACTTTTCAGGCCCTGAGGGCAACAAAAGTGTCGAAATACCCGGTGATGTCAAGTAGTCGTACACTTCTCTCAACACACGAGTATTTAAACACTATCTAAACAAGTATTCAAAAAATATTTACTCCATATATATTGTCTGCTATTTATTGCCTACAGTTTGTAAATAATTTTGAGAAAATATTTTGTTTCTCTTTTCTTCTAAATTGAAAGTTTTCTTTCTTTGCTTTTCTTAGCGTTAAATATATTAATTTCTTAACGAGAATATTGTTAAATAGAAATTTATTTTCAATTTCTAAACAACAAAAATAGAGAAAACTTGTATTTCATGTCAAAAGTTAATTAACTATAACTCAAAAGTAAAAAACAAACGTTTAAAATGTAATTAATCGGAAAATGAATATAAATTGAATTGCATTTGTTAACAGATTTTTGTTTAATAGTGTTTTGAAAACTCATATCTAATCGCAAAATATTGACAAACATGTGTCTCATTTGAATGTCGAAATGAATTAATGACTGAAATTAGACAACCATTACATCAATTAGTCGTTGGAATAATATTTATCCATAAAATGTCAATCAATCAGTGAATTAAAGCCTGAAATAAATGTTTTGACACAAAAATATTTTCTTTTTCAAAGTTATAATTAGTCGATAAATGTTTGCAAATATTCGCCAATAAGTATAGCATTTGATTTATAATAATACACAAAACAGTTTGAGATTTTATATTTATTAAAACATTGTTTATTTGTTCAAAATTGTTCATTAAATGAGTTTTACATAATATATGAGTTTACAATTAAAAGATATATTTATAGAGAATTGTTGCAAAAAATTGTAATAATTTTTTATAATATCTATCATAATAGCCATAATAATCATCAGTTGCTTCTGAAAGACATTAACCACTGTTTCAATTGGTTGGAGAAAAGAGAGATAGAGAAAAGTGCCTAAACTATACTCAAAGTCTTATTATTTATAATTTGAATTCACTTTATATTCACCTCTAATTACAAGTTCAGTGAAGACTGAAAGAAGAAAACGAGAGAAAAAACTTTGATTCCGTTGAATAACAGCTGAAGAATAGAGAAAACAACTCATTGGCTCTCATATAGAAAAGAGAGAGAAAAACATTTATTATAATAATTGTAAACTTTTTTCGTTCACATTATTTGTTATGTCTATGTGTTTGATATTTTATATCGTAATTAAAATTTCTTGTAATCATTTTCTCGTATCTAATATTATATATCAGTTAATAATTACTCAAACCATTTAGTTTGTAGTGTATGTGTCGGTTGTTTTGTTTTTTGGTTGTAATTATATTCATATAATTTTACAGACGTTTTCAAAACCTTTAAAGGAAAGGAAATCTCTATTTATGAAAAACAAGTCGTAAATAGTTATGTGAGAAATATATATACTATTATGTAATGTAAGAAATAATATGAATTTTAATGGGATATATGTGTTAAATGTTTTCAAATTATATATTAATTATATTAATCTCTTCTAATGATTATGTTTTTTATGTTTAATGACAAATAAATATACGAAATATATAATCGATAAATACAAGTATATATACTATTATATAATATAAATTTTTATAAATAATTATTAATAATATAAAACAATAATAATATGAATAAAATGAAAATAAATGAATACATCTATTGATAAATTTATATAATGTATCGAAGATTTTGCGCACAATTTAATGCATAATAATTATCTCTAAGAAGTCGTCAAATTATGGTAATATTTATCCAAATAATTATCATTAGGTAAAATAAAATCAGTGAAAAACCAGTTCATTAAATACATTATAACTGCAATATAATATATAAATCATTATTTTGATCGATGCATACAAAATAATTTTATAAACGTTACTCTAAATTGTAATCATATGTTTAGTTTACAATTAAAATTAATATATAAGTCAATAATAGTTTATAAATTAAGTCATAATACGATTAAATAGTGGACAGAATTACTTCTCCAAAATATTGTATTTTTACAATTAATTACCTTTAGTTTCAATTGTTTTGGTATTTTGTTTGGTTTTTGTTGAGACAATTAATGAGCAAAATTCAACATTACTTTTAAATATTAATATCAATCTTAATTATTAAGTCTTGTAATTATATATATATTTTTGTTACGTTTTGTTTCAATATCTAGAAAAGACTCTCCAATCGATTAAATTGTGCAGAAAATTAGACAAACAATTAATGTAATGAAAAAAGTTTGTCTTGTTTTTTGAGGGGTGTTTTGAGTGGCGAAGTATTGAAGAATTTGATGCAAAATATTTTGTACATAAAGAGACAATTTGTTCGCTTCTTTTCAATTACATCTTTGAATAAACGGCTGAATCGCTGACAATAACTATACTCTAAAAAATTGTATCGTTTGTAGAGCTAAACAATTATTATCAGTATATTATATATCAGTTATTATATTATGTTTTAATATTAATGTAATAAAAAACTGAGATATTATTGATTAGAACTAATGGTTGCACTCAATGTTCCTCTTCATCCAAGTGCTCCTTCTCTTCAGCGATGGGCGAAGTGGCCAACGGAGCCAATGGCTGACACTCCGCGTGATCGTCGCCACCGTCCAAGTTGTCACGTCGGGCCCGACCCGAACACGTGCACACAGACACCAACGAGTCCTTGAATTCCGGTTCAATACTCAGACAGAAGATGGGATTCAAGACGAGCGGGACTTCGGAGATGGTGTACGTGAGGAATACGATCCACTCGTCGATTACGATCGGACAGAGTTTGAAGTAGAGGTTGGTTTGCAGTACATAATAGGGTAGACTAAAGAGGAGGTGTATTATGACAATTGTGAGCGTATAATACAGGGCTTTGCGGTGGCGTTCGATGAACGCCTGGCTCTGGTCGTTGTCCGGAACCATCTTTCGTTTGACGATCAGAATGATAACCAATAGAAGTTTGATCACAAATGGCCCGATATATGAGATTAAGAAACTGATTATTGCGTGAAGTTCTTCGTAAGGGAAGAGCAGATCGCGGAATATGATGATGAAGATGAGGAAAAATGAGGCCAACCATAGCAGTACACTGAGCACAACGGCGTTGGCCATTGACCCGTAACACGACTTATAGCATCGCGCGAAACACGTGGCGAACAGTCGGTCGGCTGTCATCAAGAAGAAGAAGAGAGAAGTGGTCGGTAAACCCATCGCCGGTATACCCAACATCTGGATCGCCACTTTCGGTAAGCCGTACTCCTCGTTCTTGTAATCGTAGCCAAACTGCTTCAGACCCCATAGGACCACATCCAACAGATCTATGATAACCGCCACACAGACATTGATGACATACACACCCAAACGATTGCTTATGATATTCGAGCACTTGATGTATACGAATATCAATAACGCGTTACCGATTAGTCCTAATCCGAGTAATATTAGTCGGAATATGAGAATCGCTTGCTTCACATTATCGGGACTTTGATCATATGGTAATCCTTGTGTGGCATTTGTTGAGTTACTGTCAGAACTTTGAACGATAGTATTGATGAAGGAATGGGAATTATTGAAAGGATGTGTGCCATTAAGCAAATTGAATGTGTGTTGGTTATTTTGGAAACTCATTTTCGAAGGTAGATTTGTTCACAGCTTTTGTTCATAGGTTTTGTTCACAAGAATTGACACTTAATTACAGTAAATAAAGAAGAAGAAGAAAGAGAAGCACAGTTTGATCGCTTAATGGCTAATCGCCAGCAGTTCCAGCAGTTGTGGATACACTTCAGCATATATTCATATATGAATACAATGTTTTGAGTGGAAATGACATCAGAAATGATTGGTTAGAAGAGTAGTGGAAGAGTAGTGAACAGTAATTGAAGAGCTGGTGGTATGAGTTGGGAATCGCAATGAAAAATGCAATGAAATGGTACTGAAATATAATGGTATATGAAATGGTTGTGAACTTGTTTTGTCAGTTCCCAAACTGAAACTCTAAAATTCACAGTCAATGCGATTGTAATACTAGTTGTGTAGCGAAAAGCGATGTATTGCTGGCACTACTACTCCGTACTGAACACACAGTGCATAGCGTTTGGATACAATTGAACGCCAACTCAATTCACTAACGCTTTAACACAACCCAAACATCTAATGCCAGAAGAGTATGAGAATAGAGTAATAGAGTGGCAACTATTCGGTGCACAAAAACTATTAAACAAAAAGCGTTTATTAGTATTATATTTGATGAAAAGGTAGGGATTGGAGAGATAGACGGGACCGGAAGTGTCCGACACTCTGACAGTAGAGTAATATTTAAAAAATTGTATATAAAAAAGACAGTGTCTTCTGGAAGAGGCGGTTCGCAGTGAGGCTGCAGTAAGTGATCGCTTCACTTGTTTTGTTATGCAATGCCGCGCCCAAAGCCCTGGCTCTGGCTCTATGTGCTCTCGACGTAGAGTTGGTAGAGTTGGTTGTGTTAGCGCTGGTTGTGTTGGCTCGGCTCAAGTCAGTGCACAGACACTCACAACACAGCAACAAATGTCCTCTGCGTTACCAACACATGAGCCGCGCTCTGTCTCGCGCTATCTCTCCCTCTCTTTAGCTCTCTTTGCCAGACCTTATACTCGAGAACTGCTATTCACAGCACTGTCTGTAACCACCAGAACACCAAAACAGCTCAACACGAATAGCAGA